GGGCTGGCCGAGGCGCGGCGCTGGGAGGCCTCCCCACGCGGCTGCGGCGCCGGCGCCTCCCGGGGCGGACCAGGGCGCTCGGCCCAGGAAACCGCGCGAGGCGGCGGGGGCACAGCAGCTCCACGGAGCCGCGCTGCTGATCGACCTCGAGAAGGCGCGCGAGACGGCGCGGCTGGCCCGCGCCGAGCGCCTGGCCCGCCGAGCTGGCATGCACCGCTGACCGGCCCGCTGCGCCACGTCGACCCACCGCGGGCGCCAACGCATACGCGCGGGCACCATCGTGGCCGAGGCGCGCACACTGGACGCGGGCCCGCTGGCTGGCTGCCCGCGCGCGGGGAGGGCCCTGAAGGCGGCGATGCCACCAGCGACGAGGGCGCACTTAGAGGGGCACGGCGCCCGCAGCAGCTGCGAGCCGAAGTCCGACACGCACATCTTCTACGCCGACACGACCGCGGCCAGCTACGGGCGCGCCCCGCGGGCGATCGCAACGCACTTGATGAGGGCAGGGGCCGCGGCGGCAGCGGGTCTGACCGCGCTCGGCCGCGGGATCTCGGGGGCCCAGACGGAGGCAGCGGCAACCGACCCGCCGACGCGCAACGAGGCCCAGGCGGCGCCAAAGGCCAGCACCCTGAGTGCCAAGCCAACGAAGGTCACGAAGAACACGGGCGTGGATTTCTGCTTGGACGGCTCGGCCGCGGCGGGGGCGCCGAGGAGGCGGCACGCCAAGGCCCGCGACCTGCTCGGGCGGGCGGCGGGCGCGCGACGCCAATCCATCAGCGCGGCCACGCGCCTGCTCGCGGGCGGCCCCCTCCCGACGACGGACCGCGGCTGCAGCGGACCGCGAGCGAGCTCGAGCGGCGGCGGTAGGCGGCCGGGCCCCTGACCTTCGGCAGCGCGCGGGGCCGCTCGCTGCAAATGGGCCCCGCGCTGGCCGCCGCGCCCTGGCGCGACCCCCGGCGCTCGCAGGCACCCCCGGCTTGGGGCCGCGGGCTCGCGCGGGACCACATCGACACCGCCAGCGACATGCTGCGGGCGTGGCGGCACGCCGCGCAGGTTCGCCACAAGCAAGGGCCTGGCGCCCCGGCGGGGCGCGGCCCCGCGGCGGCGGCGCCGCTCGCGCTCGAGCGGCTGGGCTGGAGCCCCACGGCGATGCACCGCTGGGCCGCGGACGTCGGCGCGACGCTGAAGCTCGAGGAGATCGGCGGCCACGCGCTCCGCAGGCACATCCGCGACTCGCACCAGCGGCGGCTCTGGCGCGAGGCCGCGGCTCGCGACGAGGACCTCGGGCGCGCGGCCAGCGGCGCAGCCGCCCGCGGCCTCCGACGGCGGCTGCTCGCCGCCAGGGCGACCCCCGAGCGGCGGGCGCGGTGGTCCAGCGCCCGCAACGCGGCCCCCAGCGGTCTCTGGCCAATGCCCCGCCGAGCCGCCCTCGACCCGCCGCTGCGCCGCTCGGGGGCCTGCCCCGCAGGGTGCAGCGGCCGCGGCACGGCGCGGCACCGCGCCTGGAGGCGCCCCGCCCTTGCAGCGGAGAGGCGCGACGCCATCGCGGGCGACGAAGTGCTGCAGGCCTTCCCCGACGCTTCCGAAGCGTCCGACAGCGAGGACCCCCGCTACTCGAGGGCGCTCATCCACGGCCGCCCCCCCGCCGCCGCGGGAGACCGAGGAAGCGCGGAGAGGCAGCGACCACGGGCCACGCGGCCTTGGCGGGCGCCAGCGTCCTGTACACCGACGGCTCGGCGATGCGCGACAAGGCGGGGCCGCCCGAGGCGCGCGCTGGCTGGGGGGCTCGCGGCGCCGCAGGTCCTCGGCGCAGCGCACGGCGCCTGGGGCTGCGCCCCCGCCCACCTGCCGCAGGACGCGAACGCGGGCGAGATCCGGGCTGCAGCCCGCGCCCTGCGCTGGGGCCTGCCAGGCGCGGACGGCATCCTGGAGATCAGGATGGACTGCAAGCTGCTCGTGACGGGCTTCACCGCGGGCAAGGCCCGGTGTTGTGCGTGGGACCGCCCGAACCTGGAGGTGCGGCGCGAGTTTTGGCAGGCCGTGGGCGGCTTCGGCGGCCAGCAGTACGTGCGGGTCACCAAGGTGAAGGGGCACGCCACGCTCCGCTCGGTCCGCGACGGCCACACCCGGATGGACGACTACGAGGGCAACCGCGCCGCGGACGGTTTCGCCAAGAAGGGCGCGGGGCCCCACCCCACGAGCGAGGCGGCGGTGGAGCGCATCGAGCTGGCCGACGCGATCGCGGCGGCGACGGCCCGCTGGCTCGGCGAGGCGCTGCAGCTGGGGAGAGCCGCCCTCACGGCGGCCGACGGCGCGGACGCGGGCGCGGCGGAGTCCACATGCTGCGGGCGCGGATGCGGGCGGCGGGGCGCCGCGCGCTGCCGCGACGGCGGGCCAGGCTGCAGACGCTGGCCATGCGGCGCGCACGGCACGGCGGCCTCGGACGTGAACGGGACGCGCTGGCTCTGCGACGCCTGCGCGGGCCGATCGGACAGCACGC